ATTTAGGTAAAGGGCTGCAGAGCCAGTGGTGGTTTTGTAGGCAAACATCAATGCCTTGAATTTAATGCGAGCAGCTACTGGTAGCCAGTGCAAATTCATAAACAGAGGTGTGACGTGCGTTCTTTTCGGCTCGTTAAAAATTAATTTACATTTACTTGCTGCCTCGTTCTGGTGTAATTCTTAAAAAATAAATTTTCATAAATTTAAATTATATTTTTCTGATTTAATTGTCATCTTTTCATGCAGTGCTGCTCAGGAGATGCCCGCGCGTGAGTGTGTGTGAGTGTGTGTGTGTGTGTGTGAGAGTGTGTGTGTGTGTGTGTGTGAGTGAGTGAGTGAGTGAGTGAGTGAGTGAGTGAGTGAGTGAGTGAGTGAGTGAGTGAGTGAGTGAGTGAGTGAGTGAGTGAGTGAGTGAGTGAGTGAGTGAGTGAGTGAGTGAGTGAGTGAGTGAGTGAGTGAGTGAGTGAGTGAGTGAGTGAGTGAGTGAGTGAGTGAGTGAGTGAGTGAGTGAGTGAGTGAGTGAGTGAGTGAGTGAGTGAGTGAGTGAGTGAGTGAGTGAGTGAGTGAGTGAGTGAGTGAGTGAGTGAGTGAGTGAGTGAGTGAGTGAGTGAGTGAGTGAGTGAGTGAGTGAGTGAGTGAGTGAGTGAGTGAGTGAGTGAGTGAGTGAGTGAGTGAGTGAGTGAGTGAGTGAGTGAGTGAGTGAGTGAGTGAGTGAGTGAGTGAGTGAGTGAGTGAGTGAGTGAGTGAGTGAGTGAGTGAGTGAGTGAGTGAGTGAGTGAGTGAGTGAGTGAGTGAGTGAGTGAGTGAGTGAGTGAGTGAGTGAGTGAGTGAGTGAGTGAGTGAGTGAGTGAGTGAGTGAGTGAGTGAGTGAGTGAGTGAGTGAGTGAGTGAGTGAGTGAGTGAGTGAGTGAGTGAGTGAGTGAGTGAGTGAGTGAGTGAGTGAGTGAGTGAGTGAGTGAGTGAGTGAGTGAGTGAGTGAGTGAGTGAGTGAGTGAGTGAGTGAGTGAGTGAGTGAGTGAGTGAGTGAGTGAGTGAGTGAGTGAGTGAGTGAGTGAGTGAGTGAGTGAGTGAGTGAGTGAGTGAGTGAGTGAGTGAGTGAGTGAGTGAGTGAGTGAGTGAGTGAGTGAGTGAGTGAGTGAGTGAGTGAGTGAGTGAGTGAGTGAGTGAGTGAGTGAGTGAGTGAGTGAGTGAGTGAGTGAGTGAGTGAGTGAGTGAGTGAGTGAGTGAGTGAGTGAGTGAGTGAGTGAGTGAGTGAGTGAGTGAGTGAGTGAGTGAGTGAGTGAGTGAGTGAGTGAGTGAGTGAGTGAGTGAGTGAGTGAGTGAGTGAGTGAGTGAGTGAGTGAGTGAGTGAGTGAGTGAGTGAGTGAGTGAGTGAGTGAGTGAGTGAGTGAGTGAGTGAGTGAGTGAGTGAGTGAGTGAGTGAGTGAGTGAGTGAGTGAGTGAGTGAGTGAGTGAGTGAGTGAGTGAGTGAGTGAGTGAGTGAGTGAGTGTGTGAGTGAGTGAGTGAGTGAGTGTGTGTGTGTGTGTACCTGTTGTCTGTGGACAGGCCTGCAGTGGCGATGAGAGACGACGAGCCCACAAACACAAAGTCATTCGCCGTCTTATTGTGACACTGAAGCGTCTGGAGGAATAGTGCACAAACACAGTTTGAGACACAATAAACATATTTTAGATTTAGAATTAAAGATTGTGAACATCTTTACAGTATTATGAATAATATGAATAAATAGGAGTGAATCTACTAGATATTGCACTGAACAGTGATAGAAACTGCTGTGGTCTGATATCATATAGCTGTCAAAAGTTTGGAAGCATTATCATTTTTCAATGTTTCTAATGAAGTCTCTTCTGTTCACCAAGGCTGCATTTTTTTTATCAAAGATACAGTTAAATTATGAAATATCATTACAATTTTCTATGTAAATATCTGTTCAAAATATGCTGATTGGCTCCCCAATTGTGATTGTGTCACAGTTTCCAAAAAAATATTGTGCAGCACAACTGTTTTCAACATTGATAATAATCAGAAATGTTTCTCGAGCAGCAAATCAGCATATTATTATGATTTCTGAAGATCATGTGACACTGAAGACTGGAGTAATGATGCTGAAAATACAGCTGCGCATCACAGGAATAAATTACAGTTTAACAGATATTCACATAGAAAACAGCTGTTTTAAATTCTAATAATATTTCACAATTTTTACTGCATTATTGCTCAAATAAATGCAGCTCTGATGAGCAGAAGAGACTTCATTAAAAACATTTAAAATACTGTACATGAGGAACAAAGAGAGCGGTGGATGTACCAGATAGGGTTTGGGAGTGTTTCCTGAGGTGCTGGTCTGCCAGAGACTGAGCGCTCCGTCCGCAACCACGATCCCAAACTACAACACACACACACACACACACGAGCTGGTTTACATACACTAGTCACACACAGCGCTCTCACACGAGTGATTCCTGACGCACCTTATTGCCCTGATAATTGAAGCGTATCCTGCTGACCCTGGAGTTTCCGGGGCTCCTGAAGCAGGTGATCTGCTGTGAGTGACCCCACTGCTTCAATAGAATCCGATCCGGGTGTAGTCTCTGACAAAAGCTTGCAACATGTACTACATTAAGCTAACTGAGACTTGTTATAGCACTTGCATATCATTGCTGGTTTTGTTGGTTTTGATTGCTTCCGTTGTCCTCATTTGTAAGTCGCTTTGGATAAAAGCGCCTGCTAAATGACTAATAAAAAATTAAACCAACCAAGGTGCCAGCACAAAAAAACACATTCAGCAAAATATTGTTTAATGATCAATATTGACAAAAATTCCTCCATTTCAGGCCCCAGAAGGAAAAAAAGCTTATAAATAATAGTTAATTTAATCATTAAATAAATTCGACCACTGATAATAAGCTTCCGTGCTTGTGTTTGATGCAGTCACTCACAGTAGGGCAGCGTGGGGTGTGACGTCATCCGCCTCACGTTGTTGATGTTGCGTTTGATGAGCTGCATGAACACACAGAAGAGCGTGAGCGAGTGTTAGCGTGAGCGGAGCATTAGCGGTCGAGTGTTGTTAGCGCTGCTCACCACAGCGGCTCCTCGGCCCGTCTGCAGGCCCCCCAGCCAGGGCATGTTGATGGGTGTCCCGGGGCTGCTGTGGGTGTAGGGTGTGCTGCCGTGAAGCAAGCTGAAGTCGTCCCGAGCGTGAACCACCAGGAAATCATCCGTTCTGACAAACAACACAATCACTAGGGATTGGGATCGCTTCAGATGTCCCGATTCAATTCGATTCTTGATTCGCAAGCTCTCGATTCGATTCAATTCTTGATTCGCAAGCTCTCGATTCGATTTGATTCTTGATTCGCAAGCTCTCGATTCAATTCGATTCTTGATTCGCAAGCTCTCGATTCGATTCTTGATTTGATTCTTGATTCGCAAGCTCTCGATTCGATTTGATTCTTGATTCGCAAGCTCTCAATTCGATTCAATTCGATTCTTGATTTTTTGATTACATTCAGTGAATATAGTTTTAATACAAATGCCATTGATATTTCTAAAAAATGAACAGTAAACATCAAAAAGAAAATAAGAGCCACAGGCCTGTATTTTAAATCTATTCTTTTTTGTTTTGTTTAGGGTCTTTTTTTAAACAATAATAGGGCCCTATAAAATGTTTTTCTTTATTTTTCTGGTGATCAGATGAAGGCATAAAACATTAATTTATCCTAATCAAATGAACATTAAACCCTTTTATTTTTTGGCAAATAAAGTGTCGCACAACAGAGGTTTACTGTTGTTATTGTTGTTACGTTGAGTCTTAAGACTGCTAAATAGTAATATATTTCTGACACAGTTTCTTCATGTTAAACCAAAATTTTATTTTGATGAGTTGCCTTGAAGAACTCGCAGCTGCTGTGTATGTGAAATTTTCTCAAATTAAACAGTAAAATGCTAATGTAGGGTGACCATATGTCCTCTTTTTTTCCCAGACAAGTCCTCTTTTTATTGTTGTTGTATTTTTATTTTTGTTATGGTTGTATCTTTCTATTAGTGCTACTGGATCTTAACGCTGCGTTCAACACTATTGACCACAACATTCTTTTAAATAGACTAGAAAACTTTGTTGGCATTA